CAACTTATTTGTATATTTAAATCTAAATATGTCTTTTATAGATAGCATATATCATGAGTTTTTAAAAAACCCATTCTGCTAAACCATTCTGGTTTTGAGTGTTTAATCCACTTACACTTAATATAATTACCAATAAGGCAGGATCTATGCCTATCATTCTATTTGTTTTCTGTGTCTTATGCCTTTTTTCCTATTCCTCCATGAATAACTTCTGTTGTGTTAAATAGATATTTTAATTCCATTGTTTTTTTTAACAATATATTTTGAGTTACTTTCTAATTGGTTGACATGGGAGTTATAATCAACATTGGGTAGGCTTCAGTAGTTGCTGGGCTTCCCTGGTTGGACCCGAATGAGTGACTAACACTTTCACTTTCTTCCAGTAGTTGTGGCACGTGGGCTCACCTTGTGGCTCCTGGGTTCTAGAGCATAGGCTCAGTGGTTGTGGTGCATGGGCTTAGTTGCTTTCCATGGTATCTTCCGGGATCAGGGATCAAATCCATGTCTCCTATGTTCTTCACCAAGGAGGCGGATTCTTCGCAACAGAGCCACCAGCACACAAACCTTGTGCATACCAGGACCCAGAGAGCCCAAAGAAACTGAGTCAAACTGTGTCTGAGTATCTCCTCCAGAGGTACAGGTCAGCAGTGGACTGCTGCAGGGACAGGGGCTCTGGGTGCAGTAGACCTGGGTATGGCATAAGCCCTCCTGGAGGAAGCCGCCACTAACCCCACCAGAGAGCCAGCAGAGCTTACACAGGACTGGGGAAACAGACTCTTGGAGGGCACAAACAAAAACCTCCTGTGCACCAAGACCCAAGAGAAAGGAGCAGTGACCCCACAAGAGACCGACCCAGACTTGCCCATGAGTGTCCAGGAGTCTTCAGCGGAGGCGTGGGTTGGCAGTGGCCTGCTGCAGGCTGGGGGCCCTGAGTGCAGCAGTGCGTGCATGGGACCTTTTGAAGGAGGTCACCTTATCTTCACTACCTCCACCATAGCTTGGCCTCAGGTCAAACAACAGAGAGTGAACACAGCCCCACCCATCAACAGAAAATTGGATTAAAGATTTACTGAGCATGGCCCCGCCCATGAGAACAAGACCCAGTTTCCCCCTCAGGCAGTCTCTCTCATCAGGGAGCTTCCATGAGCCTCTTATCCTTCTCCATCAGAGGGCAGACAGAATGAAAACCACAGTCACAGAAAACTAACCAGTCTATTCACATGGACCACAGCCTTGTCTAACTCAGTGAAATCATGAGCCATGCCTAGTAGGGCTGCCCAAGATGGACAGGTCATGGTGGAGAGTTCTGACAAAACATGGTGCACTGGAGAAGGGAATGGCAAACCATTCAGTATTCTTGCCTTGAGAACCCCATGAACAATATGAAAAGGCAAAAAGATAGGACACTGAAAGATGAACTCCCCAGGTGGGTAGATGCCCAATATGCTACTGGAGATCAGTGGAGAAATAACTCCTGAAAGAAACTGAGCCAAAGCAAAAACAACACCCAGTTGTGGATGTGACTGGTGATGGAAGTAAAGCCCGATGCTATACACAGCAGTATTGCATAGGAACCTGGAATGTTAGGTCCATGAATCAAGGCAAATTGAAAGTGGTCAAATAGGAGATGGCAAGAGTGAACATTGACATTTTAGGAATCAGTGAACTAAAATGGACTGGAATGGGTGAATTTAACTCAGATGAATTTAACTCATATCTACTACTGTGGGCAGGAATCCCTTAGAAGAAATGGAGTAGCCATNATTTAGAGAGTAAGATAATAAATTGTATGTTTCTTAAACTTAACAGGCACTTATCTATATTCTAGTTTTTCAAAATAAAAAAAATCAATGTTACTTGAGACTTAACACAGCGATAGAATGTACACTTCTGTTATATTTCTTTACTGCATTTTTTAGGAATCTAGACATAAGGCTTTAAAGCAATACTTTTTTTGGTACTATAGAATATAATTCTAAAAATAATGTGTTTTTAATAATCAGTTAATGCCACCCAGATACAATATAACCAACACCTAAGTCTCTGATGGTTTTACTTTACAAATCTGTACAAGTATTTCCTTCCAGTTACCATTGTACCATTATAGTACCACATTCCTAAAATCTGATCATGAATTTAAAAGGTTAGAAATTATAATTGAAATAGTATTTCTCTTCCTGTAACAGAATCACAGGTAGACTATTCATTTAAAGAGATGTGTTTAAATTTAACCACACAGGCTCACTAATGAAACTGATAATATAATTAACTTTGTGATAAGCCAAAAGGAGAAGGGGGCAACAGAGGATGAAGTGGTTGGATAGCATCACCGACTCAATAAACATGAATTTGAGCAAACTCCAGAAGATAGAGAACGACTGGGAAGCCTAGTGTGCTGCAGTGGATGGGGGCACAAAGAGTAGGACATGACTTAGCAACTGAACAGTAACAGTAATATATTTTAGAGACTAAAGATGAAATCCCCAACTTTTTAATCCACCAAATTCTCCCAAGAAGTTAGTATTGTTTCCATTTTTGATGCAGAAAATGAGTTCAAATAGTATAAAAGTGACTGGTAGAGCAGTAAAACCATCAGTTCAACTGAAAGGATGACATGCTTATATATTGGTTCAAAAAAGTAAGCCCCTGATTTGCACCGCATGTCCAGTCTGAGCTTATATAACTTAAAAGGAATTTTAAAAAAGTTACTGTGAAAACATCAGTAAAGAATATAAGGTAGAAATAAAAGACAAAGAGCTGAGACATCTGAGCCATGATGAAATAAAGAATACAAAGGCAGTAATAAGAATAAACTCATAAAAAAGTTAATGAAGAATATAAATGCCATCTTTTTCCCATGTTCCTTAAAGGCAGTATTGAAGGCCTCTTATTGTTTTGATGTTACGCAGCATTCCTGCACTGTTGCTGTTTAGTTGCTAAGTTGTGTCTGACTCTTTTGCGACCCCGAGGACAGTAGCCCTCCAGCCAACTCTGTCCATAGAATTTTCCAGGCGAGAACACTGGAATGGGTTGCCATTTCCTTCTACAGGGTATCTCCCCGACCCAGGGATTGAACCTGCATTGACAGGTGGATTCTTTACCACTGAGCCACCAGGGAAACCCATTCCTTCACTATATTGTAGTAAATATCACCTCTCCTTGCCCATGTGGTTTAAGTGGGATTGACTCCAGTCCCAGCTCCAGAGGTATTTGTCATTCAGAACAGCCCTTCCCTCTGGCCAAGGGATTGGAACAGAGGCTAGGTAGTTTAGAGATGCTTCGGTTTCCCTGGCGGCTCGGCTGGTAAAGAATCCACCTGCAATGCAGATCTGGGTTTGATCCCTGGGTTGGGAAGATCCCCTGGAGAAAGGCATGACAACCCACTCCAGTATTCTTGCCTGGAGAACCCCCATGGACAGAGGAACCTGGCGGGCTGCAGTCATGGGGTCGCAGAGTCAGACATGACTGAGGCGACTTAGCACATGTAATCAATATTAAAAATTGCGGTATTTGGCATTGTTTCATTTTATATCTCTCATCTATTGTGATCTCAGTTCAGACTAAAGCATATTTCAACTACTCAACTGCCACACGTGGCTGGTAACTAACATGCAGTTAGTTATTTACATGAAAGGTTAGGGAAAGGGGGGAAATGTTCTTTGTCCCCAGCCCATCTTGCTACTAATTATCTATTATCTATCTATCTACCTATATGAAATATGTATCGTTTCAGTTGGCAAAGTCCTTTCACATTTGCTATTCATTATTTCATTTAATAGGAACATGCCTCACCTTAAGGATGGATTAGGTTTTAAGAGGTGGGGAAGATTCCCATCAACAGGAAACAAATGAGCAGAAGCAACAAGGAGGGAAAAGATCCATTAGGAAATTAATCATGGAGATAAACCTAAGAAGATATAGTAGGAAGCCCTCAATGCCAGACCAGGGAAGCTGAGGTGTTCATTGTCAGCTGGTGGGAAGAAACCCAAGGGGTGAGCGGGAAAGAGGCAAAACTGGATTAAGCAAGTGGCTAAACATAGCATGAAATGGAGTGGGAAAGGCTAGAGGTAGTTGATTAGGTAATTACAGCGTTAAATCTGAGGAAGAAACAATCTAGATAGAGGGATGAAGGGGACAGAGCCATTTGTCTGTACCCAGGAGATCCTAATATTAGTGCCCTTCCACCTTTCGTGATTGGGGAGATTTTTAGGGACCTTTTAGATGGCTCTCTCTCTCTCTTTCTCTCCCTCCCATTTCTACCAACAAATACCTGAGTACCTACTACCTGTCAGGGACTATGACAGACTTTGAGGATGTAAGAGGGAATGAGGCAGGTACGATTCTGGACCTCTTACATTGTATGTTTTCCAGAAAGAAACAAGCCAGTTATGACATAAAATATTTTCACATTGTGGTAAGTACTATGAAGAAAATAATCATGGAGATGACAGGCCTGGAGAAGGAATTCAGAAGTGGTGATACTTAAGCCCTAAGACCTAAAAGATGAAAGGAGCTGGATGTGCAAGAAGTCAGGGTAAGAGTGCCCCAGGTAGAAGGAAAAGCACATGCAGTCTTGCAGGCAGGAAAGAACTTGGGTGCTTGAGACTAAATGAACAATGCTGCTAGAGCAAAATTTCAGTGGGATTGTGGCAGGAGGTGTAGTGAAGGGGGAATCAAATGGGCAGGTCATGAATTGAACAACTTCACTTTCACTTTCATGCATTGGAGAAGGAAATGGCAACCCACTCCAGTGTTCTTGCCTGAAGAATCCCAGGGATGGGGGAGCCTGGTGGGCTGCTGCCTATGGGGTCCCACAGAGTCGGACACGACTGAAGTGACTTAGCAGCAGCAGTATGCACTTTTGGGGGGAAAACTGCTGTTGAAGAAGTCAACATGAAAATAAATATTTGTTTATTCTAGATATTGGAACATACAATCTTAGCACACATTGTTAAATGCAAAATATTATTTCCAAAATGTAATTTTCAATCTCATTTTAGTTAAGGTGATTAGGAAGTTTCTGAGGATACAACACACATGGTTTGCCAACTGGAGGAAAAAAAAAAAGAGTCCACGCAGAAAGGACAGCCAAGGACAAAAGCAAAGGGACAACAATGAGATTGCCTTGGTAAAGGACCAGAAAGTAGCCCGGTGGCTGTAGGAGTAAGTAGCCATCAGCACAAGGTATGTGGTCCATTTTTAATCAATGACTAGGAGATGGCTTCTCATTCACCTGTCACCTCCACAGTGCTGGCATTATCACACAATGAGGGTGTGCTCAGCCTCAGTCGCTTCTATCCACAGGATTTCCCAAGCAAGAATACTGGAGTGGGATGCCATTTCCTTCTCCAGGGGACCTTCCCCAGCCAGGGATGGAACGCCCGTTTTCTGCGGTGGCAGGCGTGAGCCACCAGGGAAGTCCCACATCACGCAGTAGCCAGGAAAAAAAAAAAAAAACAAGCCGAGTAAGGTAGAGCTAAATCGCGCTACAGTATTTTTCAGCTATCTCACAAGAGCTGATTAAAAACTCCATCCACTTCCAGCGAACCAAGAGTAGAAACACTAGTTCTAGAGAGAATTAGCGCATCGCCTAGACAGTGCCTGTGCATTCCCGACGGCTTCACGATAAGGCTCTTTTCGGTTTTATCACCGTCTCCTCCCTTAAGGCCCCTACCGGCACACCCTCAAAGATCCACAATTTTGGAAAATTCTCAGGAACCTCCTCCTGCGAGCGGTTCTTCAAGCCACTCCATACGTAGCCTTGCCTCCCCAGCCTTGGGCCCTCCAAACTAGAAAGCAGCGCCCCTTCTCCAGACGGAGCAAACCAGCTCTCATAGAGAAAGCGATTGCTCACAGACTAAATCCGCAACGTCACATCCAACCCCCGGCCCCAGCCGCCGCTTTACACCGGAAGTCGCCGGCGTGACGTGGACAAAACGCCCGCCGGGGACGTGCCCCCGTAGAGCCAATGGGCTCTGTCCACCTCCCTTCTCTGTCACCATTTTGTCTATTCACGGCCTGTGACGTCAGAGGGAGGCGCGGAGGGAGATACGGAATCCAAGAGGGGCCAGGCGTCGCCGTCGCTCTGAAGGCAGAGGAGAGGCAAGATGGTTTACATCTCGAATGGTGAGTTGAAGGGGCAACGTGGGCGACCTCCGTCCTGGGATATCCTGGGAAGCCGGGCCCCGGGTTTCTTCCGTCCTCGCCCGCCGGCCCGGCGCCACTTTCCCGGGCACGCCCCCCGGCCAAATGTAGCTGGGGGCGAAGTCGCCCCGGCCTGCAGCTCCTCAGCCGACCGTCCCTGAGCCGGCGGCAGGGGCTGAGGTCCCCTTGGTGACGGCTGTGCCGAGTGTCCGGCGATCTCGCCCTCCTGGAGCTTCTGATTGTGGGTTTTGAAAAGTGGTCTTTCCTTTTCGGTCGTCAGTGTCCTTAAGTGTTAATAGAAAAGACCACAGTGTTTACACCATCTGCGTTGCTTTTTCTTATGCCTCGGATACTTTTAAAAGAGTCGTTCGTGTGTCCACGCATTCAGTCTCTATATCGCTTTATCCGGGTGAAACCGTATTGTTTTGCGGGTGGAGACTTAGCCGCAGCCGGATTAATTAGTTTGCCCAGGATCACAGATGTAGTTATGATGGTTCATTCGGGTTTCTAACGCCGGTAGGCTGACGTCAGCTTCCTTGCTGTTATCTACTACTACGCTGCCTCTTTCCGAAAGAGTGGACTAAAAGCTTTGGGTAGACTTTTCCCCCCAGGTGAGAGAGCTTGTCACGCAGGTAATTTTCTGCCCTAATTTCAAGGGGCATAGGGAGAAATAGCACTCCCTGTAGGAACAAGTTGATTATTCCTGGAATGGAGAAGCTGAGAGAGACTTAATTCAGTGGTTCCCCAAAGACAGTGAATGGAAAGGAAAGACACAGTATGACTGGGAAAAATGTCAGAACTGCCTGCCCACTTGTTTGACTCAGGTGACACAGATGTCTTGTTGCCCTCTGAACTCGTTCTTGCATCACTGGAGCCAGATCCTGGTTCCATTTTGAATCATCTGTTTATTTTAAAAGGCTATGAAGATACTGTAGTCTGAAGTCTTCTGGCTGAGCGCACTTTGCATTTATTTGCTTTTCAAAATCTCTCTTCTCCTCCTTTTCAACTGCTTAAAAATCTCTGAAACAGGTTGCTGAATGCTAAAAATCAAAGTTTAATCTTGGTTTTAGTCATTTGCAGACTTTGTGTTACGTCCTTTGTGGTTAACGCTGGCAGCTTCTATTATTTACTGACTACTTGTATTTGTAGTGTCTTGTGTATGCCTTACTGTTTTTCACCTACATAAAAAAAGTCTTATTAGGACCTCTAATCTCACTTGTATAGTTGAGAAATGCCAGTTGCATTCAAGCCACTTATTTCTATCCGAGGATATTGGGAGGAGAAGTTTCTGCCTTCAGAAACTGGGAGAAAAAGCACAAAAAGCTGAATGGTACAAATGCATTCAATAGGCTCTTTAAAACTGCAAAGGAAGAAATTGACCAGTTCTAGTTAGATCTGTTTTCTTAGAAGGACTGTATCGGTATTTCATAGGTGACAAAAATTTTCTCTTACTGTCAAATGACTTTTTCTTTTTCCAACAATTCTGTATGATGACTAGTCTTGGAATGCTTTTTCTTTTTTTTTTTTTTTTTNAGTAGATAAACTAAAACTGGGATTCTTTTTCAGACCCAGATATTCTCTTGTTGATGTTAAATTGCTCACAGATGTCAGATGCCAGCACTGTGAGCTGGGGCCCCACAACGCTGTCCAGTCTTCGGCAGAAGTCCAGTGTGGGCTGAATGGAGGCATCAATCATAAAGCAAACAGCTGCGTTCATCGCCTTATAGACAATTAAGTGCAGCGCTTCATAAGTGTCGTCTGTATTTACAAAAATTTTGGGGAATCTGCATGTTGCTTCTGGATCATTAAGATTCAAGGGGCCAGTGAGAAATCTTCCATAGTGTTGGAGGTTTCCTGGCATTTCTGCCCTTATTGGAGAATCCCTTCCCGCCAACTCAGGTTCGATATGCCTTGGAAACAGAGCTGTGGTGAGGTATTTGTATAAAATTCTCATGTCGTCTTGTTCTAATCCACTCCAGATGAGTTGATCATTATAGAGAAAGGCAGTGTACTTGACTGTACTCAGGCTTTCTTCCACTCTGTTAATAAAGGACTGGATTTTCAAATGAGTCATTTTATCCAATGGGAAGAAGCTGATCCCACTAAATATGTCGAGTAGATCACAGGACTGCAAATGTAACGTTTGCAAATATCGATGGAAGAATTTCTCTAATCTTTCTTTTAGGAGCTTGACACCTCCATCTTCCATGGCTCTCAGAAATGTACTATTAAAAAGCTTGTACATGCTGTAGCACTGCTGGAGCACCGAACTATAAACCTTGTCCAGCAACTCCTCTAGGTATTCAACGACTGGTTTTCCATCTTTACTCTGCTTTTCAATGATAGGATTCCGAACAACCATGACCATACAGAAATTTTCTTCTGGTTCGTTGAAGAACTGTCTGTTCTTCTGTGTATGTAAAGATTTTGCAGGTTTTGATGGACTAAAGGTCCTTGCAAACTGTACAATAGCTTCACATAATCCAACGTTTCTAATCTTTTCATTCTTTTCTACTTCGTTTGGATAATAAAGCAAAATTTTATTTTCCTCCTCTCCCTCGCGCGGCCCGAAGCGCGGGTTGTAGATGAAGAAGCTCAGCAGCGCCGGCGGGAACTGCTTCTCTTGGGCCACTCTTGCTCCAGCCCCGGCCGCTGCTGCCGCCATCCTGGCCCGGCCCCGCAGCCTCGGGGGAATGCTTTTTCTTAGAGAAGAAAAATGTCTCAATGATGCAGAGCTAGTAAGGGGCAGAACCAAGTCAATCACTCACACTCTGTTGTTGTTTAGTTGCTCAGTCATGTCACCATCAGACTCTTTTCAGCCCCATGGACTGTAGCCCACCAGGCTCCTCTGTCCATGGCATTTGCCAGGCAAGAATACGAGAGTGGGTAGCCATATCCTTTTCCAGGGGATCCTCCCAACCCCAGGATCTTCTGGAGCCAGGGGTCAAACTCATGTCTCCTGCATTGCAGGTGGATTCTTTACCACTGAGCCACCTGGGGAGCCCTCACATGCTGTTGTAGCCCCCGTTTCTCAATAGCTCTGTAAGAGCTCAGATCCAGGTGGGTACTGAAAGTCAGCTGGTCTGTGAAAGAGGAAAAGCTGTAGCTGGGGGGTGGCAGTGAGTGTGGTGAAGCCCTTGGGAAAATGGAGAGAACAGGTAGTTGACAGGTGGCTCTTCTCTCAAAATATTCTGACCTGTTCATTTACAAGACTGAAACTCTATAGAGTATTCACTTTTCCTGATATAGCTTCTGTTATTTAAAGTGGTTTGAAAAATAGATGCATTTTTCTGTAAGATAAAACTGAAGTCTGTAATTAGGATCAACAGCATTCTGTTAAAGAAATAGCCATAAGCCAAATTCTCTTTAGTACTTAGAGCACATGAATTTTTTGACTTACAGGAATTTTAACATAACAACTGTTACAGGGTTATGAAGATTTTAAGAGTATGTATAAACAGTCTTTTTATCTAGGCAAGAGACTTTGCGAGTGAAAGAGATACTCCAAACACATTTAGGAAATGGAGGTGGTGTGAACCCTTTATACTCATTCATCTGTTTCCTCAAAATGCTTGAATAAACAGATATTTGTACACCCATGTTCTTAGCAGCGTGTTCACAGTAGCCAAAACGTAGAAGCAACCCAAATGCCCATCAATAGATGAATGGATAAACAAAATGTAGTATATGCATACAGTGGAATCTTCATCAGCCTAAAAAAGGAAGGATATTTTGACATATGCTACAATATGGATGAATCCTAAAGATACTGTACTAAGTGAGATAGCCAGTTGTTAAAGTACAAATAGGGTATGACTCCTTGTACAGATTTCCTGGAGCAGTCAAGTTCATAGAGACGCAAAGTAGAATGGTGGTTTCCAGGGTCTGGGGAGCGGGAGGAATGGGGAGTTAGTGTTTAAGGGGTGTGGAGTTGTAGTTGGGGAAGACGAAAAAGTTCTGGAAGTGACTGATGATGATGGTTGTACGGTAATGTACTTAATGCCATGGAATTGTACACTTAAAATGATTAAAATGGTAAAATTTTTTGTGTATATTTTTACCTCATTAAAAAAGAAAAAAAAAAATTCTTGAAATGTCACCCACCAAAAATTACAAACTATATAGGAGGCATTATTTGACATATGAAAGAAATGACCTCTAGATCACAGAGCTTCACTTCCCGGAACCTTTGCTTAGGACCATATACACATAACAGATTTCTTGCATAGACTGTTTGGAACAGCGAACATGTTGAAAATTGAGCTTATGATTGTTACCCGACTGATTAAGTGTAATGTGTCTTGTGTCAGGAATTTGTAGCACTAACTGAAGTTTCTTCATTCTTATCTGCAGGACAAGTGTTGGACAGCAGGAGTCAGTCCCCATGGAGACTATCTTTCATAACAGATTTCTTCTGGGGAATAGCTGAGTTCGTGGTTTTGTTGTAAGTATAGTTGTGCTGTTAGTAGCCCTGATATTTCAGTTTACAAAGGTACATTAGAGACATTATGTCGGTATCTTAAACAAGCTCAGCTTTCTTGAAGCAGTTTTCAGTTGTGATTTTTATTAGTAGCTTTTCTAAGGGAGATGAAGACCTGTATACTGGTAAAACTCCCCTCAAGCACCTTGTATGATTACAGATATCTTCTTGAGTTAGTAAGGTTGACCATGACTTGGCCCTCCTGGTAACCATTTCAACCTGCATCTATGGGGCCAGACCAACTCTTTCTATTGCCCAGTGACATACCTCACTTTCTGTTATTTCTGCCTTTCATGTGTACGTGCAACTTTTATTGCACAGTATATAATGAGTAAACAAGGGGAATTAGATCTTGAATTTTAGAAGCTCCCAAGCCATAAACTTTTTTTCTTAAATGAAGGATTAGCATTGATACACAGGATACACATAATTCACCATAATTTCAAGCAATTCTTAAATTCTTTTTTTTTTTTGGTCTTTCATATTCTGTTTTATGAAAATTGTTCATCAACTACTAACAAGTCTTACTCATCCAAAGTTTAAATATACATTTGAGTGCCTCGTGGGCCAAGAACTGCAGAGATGCAAAGATGTGGGAGATAGTTCCTTCGTTGACTTTAATGTCAGTAAATATCTTCATTTTAAAAGGGGCCTTGGGGAGGGCATGATGGTGGGAGGTGGACATCAGAGGTTATTCCAGGTGGGAGAGACACAGAAAAGATGGCAGAGAAGTTTGAAAATCAGCTTATGATATTTATACTTAATTTGATGGTAGCTCTGGTATATAAAGTTTAATCTGATAGCTGCATGTAGCATAAATTAAAAGGGGGAAATGGAAGAGACTACCATAGAGAAATACAACAGGGGATAGAGAAGTCTAAGTTATGGTACTCACTGCAAAACTTCTTTGCAATCTCTTACAAATTTCACCTCCATATTGTTTAATTTAATTAATTTAGTTAAATTTTAATTTAATTTAGTTAAATCCTTTCCCCTTTACAAATAAAGAACATTCCATTTAAATGAATTCCCAGAAAGCCCTGTGCCTCTGGCATACCACCTCAATCCCTCCTTCCCTAGGGTAACATTAGGTAAGTTTTTGGCACAGGAAGTAGGATGCAATACTATAAAAGCAGTTTCTGGGGCCTGACAACCAAGACAGGGCAGAGGAAGAAAGTTGGAGTTGACTCTGGTTTCAGAGTCATTCTGTCTAGAATTGTTCATTCACTCTGTCTAGAAGAGTTATCACAAATAAGAAAGACAAGGGATGGTAGCTTTGGCACAGAACACAGCATACTATGTTGAAACCTGTGTTTGTGATAGATGGTGTTGTCCAGCTGGCCTCACGAAATGGGGCTTTGGAGCTAAGTTAGTTTAGTCTTCCTCCCATAGAGATGATAGTTGAAGCCACGGAAATTTTACAGTGTTGAAAGTGGATCTTCTGTTGTTTTCTGCCCCTTTCAGTTTCAGAACTCTGCTTCAACAAGATGTGAAAAAGAGAAGAGGCTACGGAAGCTCATCTGATTCCAGATATGATGATGGAAGAGGGTATAACTTTTTAAATTAATAAAAGATGTTTTTATCCCTCTGTGTAATTTGTTAAATTAAAAATAAGCAGACAGACATAGGCTCATTTAAAGGCTTAAATTCTATTTTACAAAATTAATGCATTACTCTAAATCAAGCAAGTTGCCTCTGATCTGATAATCTGACAAAGCTAAATACATCAAATATCCTATGGGAAAAGTCTAAATTAGAGAATGAAAAGTGATGGTCAACATTAAAATCTAGAGATTTCACTTTAGAGTCTGTAGATTTTCAATTGCTAATGGAAATCTCAAGATCCAGCAGCACTGGGTGAGGCTTGTGTTTCCATATGGCTAAAGTAACCTGGAATTGGGTTTCAGGTAGGCATTTATAGATGTTGTTCAGTTTATTGTAATTCTTGCTTGACTCACTTTTCCTCATATATGTAATGTGTCTGGTCTCTTGCAGTATTTGAATTTTCAACTCAGATCTAAATGGTAGTTCCTATTTTAAATTAAGAAAAGGATCTATTTGAGTGTTTGAAAAGAACCTACTAAACAGTAGACATTAACTTTTCTTATCTTAGGCCACCAGGAAACCCCCCCAGAAGAAGAATGGGTCGAATTAATCATCTGCAGGGCCCTAATCCTCCTCCAATGGCCGGTGGATGAGGAAGGTAACTTACAGTCTGTAGTTCTCCAGAGATTTCATTTTGAAAATGCCTCCTTAGGATGGCTTTCTTTAGGAAAATAGAAGTCACAGCATTTTATACTCAGATGTCTTATTTGGAAAAATATTTATATCTTAACCCTTGAAAACTTATGTTTTGAATCAAGATGTCTTTTGAAGAAGGTTTTACAACATGCAGTGACTGAGTTTTTCATACAGATCCGAATTACCAATTAGTAACTATTATAATGTTTTCTTTTAGGTAAATGTCTGCTCTAAGAAGCAGACAACTGGACGTGCACATTAATAGAAGGAAACCATCAAGAAATGGAGTGCTGATCATGCCGGACAAGTTAGATGAATGTGTACGTCTAAACAAGGATTGCTCTGTGTCCTCACAGACGAATGAGGTCATGCTGGGAATTCCCTCCGCAGGGATCTGGCATGACTGACACGCAGTTCTATAAATGCACGTTTGTCTCATCTTTTTTCTATCGTCTGTGAAAGTGTTAATATAGTTTTAATAAGTAAATATTTTTAGGTTACAAAGCTGACTTCTCAACTTCTCATCTTTATATAATTAAAAAGCTGCAAAGTTGAAGGAAAATAAAAGACTGTGTATTGAATACTATTAGTGTCACCTTTTTCAACTTATGAAATATTGTTCATTGTTGGGTTTTTTGTTTTCATTTATAAATAAATCACTGTGCTTATTTCAATAGTATGCATATGATATCTATGCTCTTTAATTAATTTTTAATTTTAAAACCTATCTGTCCCATGGATCTTTAATACAGTATGTCTTATTTGCTACCAAATATAATTAGCAGGGTACTTATAAAGCCATATCCAACAGACCTGAGCTACAGAATATACATTTGATAAATGGTCTTTAAAATTATGGACTTCAGTGCTGTCTGCCAATTTTAGTTCTAAAGATGCTACCTGTTGGCTTTAACCCCATCTGAATGCAGGTAACTCTTCTTCTTTCACTAGAATGAAAGCTCTATTTGGTTAGGGATTTTTCTTCTTTATCCCAGTGCTTTGAACAGTGGCTTCGTGTAATAGGCACTGAAATAGTTATGAAAAAATGAAAAATACAGACAGTTCTATTTTGTGTTTAACAGTCTTTGGATCCAAGGTGTTCAGGTAAAAGTGTTTTTGTATCCATTTGTAAGCATTTATTCAACTCTGCCTAGAAATAGGAGTGTAGGGGCATTAATACACTGGTTTGTATGAAGACCAGATCACAGGAAGACAAGATTGGAAGCAGGGAATTGCGTTCAGAAGATGTTGTGGTCCAAGTGAGATAGTAGATTGGACTAGGTAATGGTAGTAGGAGTGGAGAGGTGGTTGCATTGAAGGCTATTTCAGAGATTGGGATTTGCTGCTGGGTTTGGTTGTAGAAGATGTGGGCGACTGAGGAAACAGTGGAACTTGCTGAGGATGGTTTAAGTGAGAGTAGATATGGGGGATCAAGAGTTCCATTTTGTATATAAGTTTGCAATGCCTTGTAGACATATAAGTGAAGATACTAAAGAAGCAATTGGTTATCAGGGAGAGATCCAAACTGGAAATACATATTTGGGAGTTATCTTCATACTTAAAGCCATGAAACTGGATCAAGTCCTCCAAGAAGTGTGTAGAGAGATGCCCTAAACTCTCCAGGGAATACTAACATCCGAGGCCGGACTGAGCACAGTCAGTGAAGAACGAGGACTAAAATCATGCACGTTGTCTGAGAAGCCAGAAGAAACACGAGTGAGGTGTAAGCGAGATGCTAGGTATCCCCGATTCAACAGCAAGTACGCAAAACAAAACAAGTAGGTGGCCGGCACGCTGCAGCCAAAACCAATCGCAGAAGCATCCGCCCAATCCACTCCCCACTCCCCACCCCCCGGGCAGCTCCGCCCTTCCGCCTTCCCGGAAGCCTCTGGGCCGACGCCTGGCGGCCACCTTGTCTGTGGGCAGTCGCTCGGGAGGTGTCGTCTGCGCTGAGACCGATTCTCTGGCACTCGCGTCGCGTCACTGGAGCTAGAGACTGGAGGGGCGTCGGCGGCCGACATGACCCAGGCGGAGAAGGGAGAGGCGGAGAACGGGAAGGAGAAGGGCGGGGAGAAGGAGAAGGAGCAGCGCGGGGTGAAGCGACCCATCGTGCCCGCGCTGGTGCCGGAGTCGCTGCAGGAGGTGAGGCGGCGGGGGCGGGCCTGGGATTCGGCTTCCGGGCCGGGGCGGCGGCCGCGGGGCTGGGCGAAGGGAGGAGCCTGGCGAGCGACGCGAGGCTTCGGGCCCCGACACGGGTGGGTGGTGCCAGGGGGGTCTTTTCCCGTTCGCTCCGAGGGCACTGGGCCGATGGCGCGGTCCCTGCGTCCCCACCGGTCGCCCCCAGCAACTGCAGTATGAGCCCCTTCCGGACCGTGAGACCCGGACAGGGCTGTACTTTGCTGTCATGTGGTTGAGGGGGCAGACTGGATGGGCCTTCCCAGTTCCCACTCTCTAGGACTCTTCCACTTTGCGAGCAGGAGGCGGGAGGAGAAAGCTCCAGTTGACTTGGGGCAGTAGGTAGCAAGGCTTGATGTAGGTAACAAGGCCTGATGTGGGATGGCTAGTGCAGAGCACCGTTTTTGTTGATCAGTCGCTAAGTCGTGTCCGACTCTTGCGACCCCATGGACTGCAGCACACCAGGCCTCCTTGTCCTTCACCAACTCCCGGAGTCCACCGAAACCCATGTCCATCGAGTCGGATGATGCCATCCAACCATCTCATCCTCTGTCGTCCCCTTCTTCTGCCCTCAATCTTTCCCAGCATCAGGGTCTTTTCAAATGAGTCAGCTCTTCACATCAGGTGGCCAAAGTATTGGAGTTTCAGCTTCAGTATCAGTGCCTTCAATGAATATTCAGGGTTGATCTCCTTTAGGATTGACTGGTTAGATCTTGCAGTCCAAGGGACTCTCAAGAGTCTTCTCCAGCACCACAGTTCAAAAGCATCAATTCTTCAGTGCTCAGCTTTCTTTATGGTCCAACTCTCAAATCCTTGCATAACTACTGGAAAAACCATAGCTTTGACTATATGGACCTTTGTTGACCAACCAAAAGTGATATCTCTGCTTTTTAACATGCTGTCTAGGTTAGTCATAGGTTTTCTTCCAAGAAGCAAGCGCCCTAATTTCATGGTTGCAGTCACCATCTGCAGTGATGCCCAAGAAAATAAAGTCTGTCACTGTCTCCATTTTTTTCGCCATCTGTTTGCCATGAAGTGATGGGACTAGATGCCATGATGTTAGTTTTTTGAGAGTTGAGTTTTAAGCGATCTTTTTCACTCTCCTCTTTCACCTTCATCAAAAGGCGCTTTAGTTCCTCTTCACTTTCTGCCATTAAGGTGGTATCATCTGCATGTCTGAGTTTATTAATATTTCTCCTAGCAGTCTTGATTCCTGCTTGTGATTTATCCAGCCTGGCATGTTACATGATGTACTCTGCATAAAAGTTAAATAAGCAAGGTGACAATATACAGCCTTGATGTATTCCTTTCCCAATTTTAAACCAGTCTGTTGTTCCATGTCTGGTTCCAACTGTTGCTTCTTCACCTTGGTACAGGTTTCTCAGGAGGCAGGTAAAGTTGTCTGGCATTCCATCTCTTTAAGAATTTTCCACAGTTTGTTGTGATCCACACAGCCCAAAGGCTTTAGCATAGTCAATGAAACAGAAGTAAATGTTTTTCAGGGGGAAGTATTGGACACACACAGCAGATACCTCCTCCAACCCTGACAATTTGGGACAATTTCTTCCATGCAGCTGACACCTATACAAAGACCTAAAAGATACTTAGGAGTTAGCAATAGGGAGTGTGAGGGCAGGAGAACATTGTGGAGGAGACCTGGGCCAAGAGAGCCTAGGAAAGTGTTGGAGGTGAGAATGTCTGGATTGAAGGAAGAAGAGAGAGCAAGAAATGAGACTGGAGATCTTAAGAGGGGTGTCATCATGAGAGTGGTATAAGGCAGAGGATGGCCTCTTCTGAAGGGGAACTTTAGAAGCGCTAGCCAGACTCCGAGCTGCATGATCAACTCTTTTAATCCTCATAGTAGCTCTGTGAGGTAGGAACTTCAGTCAGAGCCAAGAAGTGGCACTGTCTGAATTTGAAGCCATATCTGTGAATCCAGAGCCTGGGCCCTTAACCACTGTTGGAATATTTGCTTAACATCAGTCAGTCATGTAGCACCTTTTGGTTTTTCCATATCCTCTGTGGCACCTCTACTGTTATTTGCTGAATGCCTTTTTTTTTTTTTTCTTCTGAATCTTTTCTTAAGCAGTAATGTCCAGGAAATGATATGTAGGGCTCACTGGCTAGTTATTTTCTAATATGTTAAAATAAATATGTAATTATTAAAGAGTCCTTGTCCAGACTTTGGAAAACTGTATTTGCTACCCCAGAGCTTCCCAATCAGTGTCCTGCAGCCTGTGTACCATTGATGGGGTACAGGTGTCCCTGACGGCAGGCTTCCCAGGTAACTCATTGGTAAAGAGTCCGCCTGCCAAGCAGGAGACTCACGTTTGATTCCTGGGTCTGGAAGATCCCCCAGAGAAGGAAATGGCAACGCACTCCAGTATTCTTGCCTGGGAAATCCCATGGACAGAGGAGCCTGGGGGACTACGATCCATGGGGTTGCGGAAGAGTCAGACATGACTTAGCAACTCAGCCATCACCACCCTGTCCCTGATGGCAAGCAGCCTCATCGGTTTAACTCAGTCTCCTAGATATATGTTGTCTGCCATAACACACAAAAGCTTGAGGAGTCTGCTGAATAACACCAGGCCTTGTGAGAATGGTGCCATCACCATTCAACAGATAACCTCTGTGCCATGCCCTGGGCATAGAGTAGAGAACGAGACAGTAACAGTCCCCTCTTACATGAAGGTTTTGTCTTTTGGGAGAGCAGACAGTAAATCATTGTAAGAATGACAAGTGTCATGAAAAGGAGGGGTGCCATAAGATTTTATTACAGCAGGACAAACACACCTGTTCTAATGACATTTAACTTAAGACCTGAAGGGAAGAGTACAATTTAAAAGGAGAAAGAACATTGCAGACAAAGGGAAGCCTTTGTGCAGGCCTGAAGGTCAGCACTGTAGGCTAAGAAATCTAGGAGACATCTGGATTCGGAAGACCAAAGAGATTGAAAAGGAAGTAGTTCTAGAATAAAGCTAGAGAAATAGGCAGGGTCCTGATCTTGGAAGTTCTGAACTGTATCTTAGCGACAAGTTACAGAAATGTTTTAAAAGGAGGCATGCCAGGAAGACACAACTTTAGCCAATGGATGGAACGGAGTAGGTGCTGGCTGAGGAGTCATGCTGGAAAGGCCATTCTCAACAGAGGCATCTGTTTGTCAAAAGGATTGTTGGAGTCCCTTTGAGTCCCCCGCTGAGTCCCTCAGCATGTTTCCATGGTAAAGGTTCCCCAGTCATTCAGGTTATATTCTTCTCCCTTGAGAACTGTGGATCTAAAAGCCCACTGTCTTGATTTGTGCTTTGTCAATCCTTGTTGACTATCTCCCAGGAACGGGTGGTGAAAGGCAGACATACAAGATAGAATTGTGAACTCTGGCTTTTCAACTCCAAACTCTTACCAGATCAGGTAAATAGCACAGAGTCAGTAAGGGTAAAGTATTTAAAAAACAGTGACCAAAATACAGTTTATGCTTATTCTCGAAAGTGGTTCCTGTATTGA